GCGGGGCGCAGCCACCTTGGGAGACAGCAGGGCCGTCTCTGACAAGTTAAACCTACCCTTACCCTGCAACCCAGCAATCCTGCATTAGTATTTATTCAAAGGCGTTGAAAAGCCGTGTCCACACAAACACCTGCATATGGCCCTGCCGGCGTGGCTCAGTGGTTGAGCGTCAACCTATGAATCAGGAGGTCAGGGTTCGCCTCCCGGTCAGGGCACATGCCCCGGTTGTGGGCTCGATTCCCAGTAGGGGGCGTGCAGGAGGCAGCTGATGAGTGGTTCTCTCTCACCATTGATGTTTCTCTCTCTCTCCCCCTCTCCCTTCCTCTCTGAAGTCAATAAAAATATATTTAAAAAACAACTAAAACCCTGCCCCTGGATGTTTACAGCAGCTTCCCCACAATGACAGGACTTGCAGCAACCAGACCTCCTCCAGGAGGGGACGCTGCCGCCCATCCCGGCCGGGACGCCATTCAGCTCAGGAAGGTAGTTCTCGAGCGCGAAACACCGCCGAGGAACCCGCATGCCTGTGACCAAGGGACGGAGGCCAATCCCAAAAGGCCACACACCGCCTGACGTCCTGGGACAGACAGACCTTGGGGACGGGATGGGGACAGGCAGGGGTGGCCATGGGGCGGGAGGGGCGAGCTCGCGGAGCCCGGAGGGCGTGGGGGGGGAACTGCTCCGTGTGGCCTGTGATGGTGGCCGCGGACGTGGGAAGCCTCTGCTCCTTCCTCTCCGTGTTGCTGTGAACCTAAAACTCTAAGAAAATAAAGTCAATTAGAGAAACGAACAAACAGAGGCCCTGGATCACCCAGCGGCTCAGATCGGGCCCTTTGAAATCAGCCTGTAAACAAACCTAACCGACCAATCGGCTGGTGGCTGGGGGCCCACAGGGGACAGTGCTGGTCCCAGCCTATCTGAGGGGGCTGGGGAGGAGGCCTGGGGGGAAGGGGGACAAGCATTGGGACCAGGAGGCACGGCGGGGCCTGGACCAGGCCTACCTCTCAGAGGCCTTGCCCTGGGGTTTTGCTTGAGCCCCCCCCCCCACCCCGCCTTTTCTCTGAGAATTGCTAACAGCTTCGCTCCCTCCCCCTCCAGGTGAGCTGAGCCTGTGTTGGTGCCAGGCCAAGGAAAATACCCAAGGTCGTGCCCAGGAAAGTGCTGGGGAAACGTGTTGTCTTTAGCGAGAATCCGCAGGCGGCCTCTCCCGTCCTCCCGGAGGCTGAGGGCTCGAGGAACGATGTCCCTGCAGGACCCACTGTCCATCTCTGCGGCCAGCGGGGCGGGGGCGGGGCGGGAGGGAAGGACAGACAGCCTGCAGGCCTCCTT